CTGTCCTCGGTATGGTTTCCCCTTGTTCGCACGACGACTATGAACGTGTGTCGTGCATGCGTGTGCAGCGCCAGTCTTCATCGACATGGCAATGTGTGAGCTACTTTGTTCCATGTGCCTGTCCTCGGTACGGTTTCCCCTTGTTCGCACGACGACTACGAACGTGTGTCGTGCATGCGTGTGCAGCGCCAGTCTATCCCAGCGATGTACGGGACTCGGGCAGATTTCCTTCACCCGTGTGTCGGCGGAGGTGCGCGTACGGGCATGGCTGGGGACGTGTGTCCCCATGTCTCTCTCACTACTCTTCCCTGCTCGCGATGTCCTTCGTTGACGTGGAAATGTGTGAACTACTTTGTTCCATGTGTCTGTCCTCGGTATGGTTTCCCCTTGTTCGCACGACGACTACTAACGTTTTTTGTGCATGCGTGTGTAGCGCCAGTTTGTCCCAACGCCGTACGGGACTTGGGCAGATTTCCTTCGGTCGTGTGTCGGCGGAGGTGCGCGTACGGGCATGGTTGGGGATGTGTGTCCCCAAGTCTCTCTCACTATTCTTCCCTGCTCATGATGTCCTTCGTCAACGTGGCAATGCGTGAGCTACTTTGTTTGATGTGCCTGTCCTCGATATGGCTTCCCCTTGTTCGCACGACGACTACAAATGTGTGTCGTGCATGCGTGTGCAGCGGGGAGCTATGTCTATGATCCCCCTTTCGTCACCAGCCGGCTGTGATCTCTCGCGTGCTCAACTGCCACAGCAGTTGACAACGTTCGTTACTTTCACACGTTTGCGGGAGTGAAGGCTGAGCGCTTTCTCCCTGTACATGGGCACATAAGGACAAATCATTCATCGTTACCCAGGGCCGAAAAGTGGGGGTCCCCGTTAACCACTTGTGAGACATTGATGCTCTCAACATCAGGGTTGTTTGGGGGATCTCACGGAGGGAGTCTGAGGAGGAGGGAGTCTGAGGAGGAGGTCGGGCGGGCGGTAATGTGTCCCCATTGTCAAGCAGATCGCGCGTGGTGGGCCAACCTATTGACACGTGGCACGAGGACGAGGTAGCGGCGCATTCCTTTTTATTTTGTTTTTCGTTTTGTTTTTTTGTTCTCCTTCCGATTTTCAGTTTTCGGAAGGACTGCTTTGCACCTGGCCTGTCCACCAAGACTTGTGTTTTTGGTTCCACGCTGTTGTCTTCAGCATGACGCCTTAGCGGATAGCATTCATGCTTCTTGCGACAATTCATTGGGTGTGGGTGAGGTAGCAGATGACCGTTATATGTGGCATTCTGTTTATGCAATGCTTGACACAAATCATCATGATGAGGAAGATGACAGTCATCCTCTTGCTCCTTGCGTATGTCTACTTTGCGGAGGACGGCCACGCCATTCTTGATATGGCACCATTGCCATATCGTCAACGCCGACAGTCCTGCGTGAGAAACAGAGTCGGCGGTACGTGGGAAGAATTGAACATGATGGGTCCGGAGCACGACAAGAAGTTCGGAGAGTACACACGCTTGACGAGGCCCATCTTCACCCGCATTCCTCATCGAATCTCTCCTCAAATCCAGAGGTTGAACACTTCGTGGAGGCAAGCTTTGCCAGCGCCTTTGAAGTTCGTGTTTGCCCTTTACCGGTGGGCGACAGGTGGATATTATAGGCAATGCGGCAATGACTTCGGGATAGGAGTGCATAGTGTTGTTAGATGTACGGATGACGTATCCATAACCTTGCTTGCCGAGTATGGGGACACGATCAGGTGGTCTGACGGGGCGCAATTGCGAACCACTCTTAACTACTTCGAGGGCAAAGGCTTCGCGGGTTGCTTTGGGGTCATAGACTGCACACATGTATATCTGGACAAGCCACGTGGTCGAGAGCCAGAGGCGTACTACGATAGGAACAGGCAGTACTCCATTGTAGCCCAGGTCGTCTGCGATAAAAATCTTTGCATACTGGACGTGTGGGGGGGTGCGCTAGGTTCTGTTTATGATTCTCGCATGTTTCGAGTCTCTGATCTATACTCACGCGCGAAGGAGGGGAGGGAACCTTTCACGAGGAGGACGAACGTGCTCCAAGACGGAACTGTTATGGGACGGTACCTGATGGGAGACGCAGGGTATCCGGTTGTATCATGGTTGATGACTCCATTCCCTGCAGTGAACAGAGTTGTCGAGCAGACAACTTTCAATAAAAAGTTCTCAACATTGTGTAGTGTCATTGAACGGTTGAAGGGAATGTGGAGGTGCTTTGGTTGCAAACACATTGCGAACATGCGGAATGTTTGCAAGCAGTTCCTCGCATGTTGTATTCTCCACAACATCATAATCGATGAGGGGATTCTTGTCGACGAGGAACTACTACGGAGAGGAGCTGATGAAGACGACGAAAGCGATAATGACGAGGATGATGACAAAAGCGGTGGTGAAGATGATGGGGCGAGTGAAAACTTCGATGATAAGGAAGCAGAATTGCGTTGCGAAGAGTCTGTCATCTATGCGAGTCATCATCAGCGGCACCACGTCGCCGAGCTTTTGAGGGAGACAATCCGTGCGCATTCCATCCACGTGGCTTGAGTTTTTCATTTGGCTTGCTTGCTGTGGCGTTTTCGCAGGGATGCGTTTATTTTTCGTATGAGGACCACCGCCGTTTTTGTTTTTTTTTTCTTCTGCAGCTTTCTCATTTATTTTTTCCCCATCCAGGTGACTTTTTAAATCGGGTCGTTACACTGTGGAGTAGTGCATTGGTATGAAGGAAGAGAGAGAGAGAGAGAGAGAGAGAGAGAGAGAGAGAGAGAGAGAGAGAGAGAGAGAGAGAGAGAGAGAGAGAGAGAGAGA